CCCTTGGCTTCACTGAAAATTTCGGTCGTTGTTCATTATCATCTTATTATTATTTGTAATTATTCCTCTTTATTTTCTGAGAAAAATAGACGCTGGATTTTAGGGGACGCTAAACGGTGCAATAGCCTGGAATTGAAGCGGGTATTAGGGTTAGTTCTCTCCGTTTTATTTCATCTGCACACTTTGTCATCTCCCTTGAAGAATGTTTCCACATATTTTGTTGTTGTCATTTCGCTTCAAGCCCTAGCAGTTGGGAACTTATTATCGAAATTAAATCTAGGGTTTTTAGTTTTACTCCTAATATATCGTTATTTAGGGATATTTTTTCTCATTTAACCGATGCATGGGCGTTAGCATTATTTGAAATAGTTCTCATTACTTTTCTTTTGTTGGATTAAGTTTTGTATTCGAAAAGAGGATTGGATCTTTTTTAAATGGAAACACGAGGTTCGTTTGAGACTGGAAAAATCAGCAATCTGTAATTCCATCTTTTAATCAAATATGGAGTAGGGAGTGAGTTAATTAAAATATAATCTCCTTATTGCCATTGTCTTTGTATTCGTGGCAATGGCCTCTTATTCCTGTTAAACAAATTTCTCTTTTTTATCAAACAATTCCTTCTTTGCCAGTTGTTGGATGACACCTTAAATCCATAGAATTTTTGGTTATGGTGGTTTGAATGACAAAGGATACGGTAACAGCTTGAGTTTGTGTGGGAAGAAAATTAATTCGAGGATTAGAATTTGAAGAAGGTTGCAAAAGTTTCTTTAAAAAGAAAAGAGAGGACCAATTATGTTCTGAGGATCATGTTTGATATCCCTTATGAAAAAAAGTGAACCAACATTTGTTCCAGAATGGTTGAAAAGTACTGCTGGCACTGTTTCTGGGGGTGGTGACAATTCAGCCCACCACCTAGCTTCCTCTTCTTCTCACTCAGGTACCCTTTGACATTTCTCATCCCAGATATACTTCATTACAATGTTACTGTTTGACATGTATCTGTCTGTTAGATTTGTTATGCCTTTTTTGTTACCTGAAAGTTGTGTTTCTCATTGCATTTACACTTCTGTATTTTATAGTATTTGTTGGAATGTTTGTTTTAATTTTCAGAACATAAAATAACTGTATTCTTGTTATCTAGATGTTTCTTCAGTGATGCATCAGGGAAGACAGAGAAGCTATATGAATATAAGCGATGGTGATTCCCCACGTCATGCGTTTTTAGATCGAACATCTTCTTTGAATTCACGGAGGAGTTATAGAAATGGTTCTGCAAAGCATGCTTACAGTAGCTTTAGTAGGAGTCACCGCGATAAGGACAGAGAAAGGGGTAAAGAGAGGTCCAGTTTTGTGGATCATTGGGATCGTGATTCTTCTGATCCTTTAGACAGTATCTTAACAAGTCGGGTTGAGATGGATACATTGCGGCGGTCTCATTCTATGGTCTCTAGAAAACAGGGTGAGGCTTTGCCTCGAAGGGTTGCAGTGGGCTCTGGAGATAGTGGTAATAGTAAACATAACAAAGGCAATGATCTGCTTTCTGTGGGTTCGATAGGGAATAGCATCCACAAGGCTGGGTTTGAGAAAGATTTTCCCTCACTTGGAACTGAAGAGAGGCAAGCGGTGCCTCAGATAGCTAGAGTTTCTTCTTCTGGTTTGAGTTCACCTGTTGGCAATTCAGCTTTGATTGGTGGGGAAAGATGGACTTCTGCTTTAGCAGAAATGCCGGCCGCGGTTGGAAGTAGTAGCTCAGGTTCTATGCCTGCACCCCTAACTGCTTCTACCTATGGTTATGGTGATCCAAGTGTCACAGTTGGTCTTAATATGGCTGAAGCTCTAGTCCAAGCTCCTTCACGAACCCGTACTGCTCCCCAGGTAAGTGTCTCAATCAATGATTTCCCATTACATGTATAACTTATATTTGTAATTTAACTAGACATTCCTATTTGATACAGTTATCTGTCAAGACTCGAAGGCATGAGGAACTGGCCATTAAGCAATCAAAGCAACTGATACCAGTGACACCTTCGATGCCTAAGGGTTCGGTGAGCCAATCAACTTAGGTTTCAAAAGTATTTTCTATTAGCTGTATAAAGTTCATAGTTTTACTCCTATTAAACGAGTTTAGTCCCCCCTCCCTCTTCCTCCTCCCTTCCTGTACATCATCTATATTCATTTGAGATCATATGTTGGATATTCGTTTAGATGCTTGGCAACTATCTTGGACACTTTTTCAATTTTCTTATGACTCCTACGATATGTAAGGAGCTTGAAGTTGATCTATGTTTTATCTACGCCTAGTTATTTTTTGGCCGTTCAATGTGAGGTGCAAAACTTTTTACATGGGTTCAGCTAAATTCTGTGTTACTTGTCTACTTCATGTATTAATGAACCACGTAAGTTTCATGATTTTATTGTCCCAGGTTCTCAGTTCTGTGGACAAATCTAAAGCTAAACCAGCAGTCAGGGCAAATGAGATGAATATAGCTGCCAAGGGCGGGCAGCAGCAACCTTTTTTGATTCATCATGGTAATCAATCAACTCTTGGTGGGCATGTGAAGTCCGATATGCCAAAGACATATGGGAAGCTTTTGGTTCTCAAACCAGGATGGGAGAATGGGGTCTCATCCCCTGCTCAAAAAGATGTAGTTACTCCAACAAATGTCAACAGCAAAGTTACAACCAGCCAACATGCTGTTGTTGCTGTTACATCTGCTCCTGCAAGAAACTCAAACAACCCAAAGCATCCTGCTGGGGATCGGAAAGCTGTGAATCCAATAGCTGGATTCATTGTCGAAAAGAGACCCTCTTTGGCCCAAACCCAGAGTCGAAATGATTTTTTTAATCTCCTGAAGAAGAAAACTTCAACAAACACTTCTGTCAGTCTCTCATATTCAAACCCTCATATTTCCTCATCCACCACAGAGAAACCTGAAGTGTTAAAGGAAGTAGACAGTGCTTCCTTGACCGCTCACGCTAATGAGAATGGCTCTGCAGCAACTAGCAATGGTGGCACCTGTCAAGAAGCTCAAAGATTTTCTGATGATGATGAAAAGAATCTGAACTCCTTTACTATGTTTTATACAGATGAGGAAGAGGCTGCATTCCTTCGTTCTCTTGGCTGGGAAGAAAACTCTGGTGACGATGAAGGTCTCACAGAAGAGGAGATCAACGCATTTTATCAGGAGGTAATTATACCCTTGTATTTTTGTGGTTTTACTTTCCTTTTACTGGTAACGTGTTCATTTAATAATTTTTGTTAGAAGCCATTCTATGATAGTTAATAATTTTTTGTTAGAAGCCATTCTATGATAGTGTTTCTAATGAACCTTTTTTCTATACTGGAAATTACTTGAGTTGTCGTTGCTCTATGCTTTCATGCTTTCTGCAATATGATGCATGTCTACTTTCTGCTCGTTTAAAAGTAATGCGTTTTAAGAAGTGACGTAAGAACTCTTGTAAGAATAATTTCTGGATGCTCATTGTTTATTTTGTTTATTGATTTTGCTTTGCAGTACATGAAACTGAGACCGTCTTTGAAACCGCACCATATTGTGCAACCAAAGATGGCTCAATCTATTGCAACTAATTTAGATGGAGCTTCTTCGGAATTGAGCTCACCTGACTCCGGATCTGAAGCTTGACTCTTCTATGCCCTTAGTAAAATCGAAAGTAGATCCAATTTTTTATGGCAGATGATTAGGCTTTTCTTTTTTTGGATGTCTTCTGTTTGAAAGGAAGCTGATGAGTTGAGTTGGGTATGGGTTTAGGGTTTTGAGAGGGTGCATTTTGCAAATAGTACAATAAGTCCTGCTCACTTATAACAAGAAAATTTTTTAGGGTTCTTTCAAGGTTGTTGGATTAGGGGAAAAAGTTTGACATGGGGCTATTTTGTCTGTGCAGTGGGAAAATGACGTTGGAAAAAAGTTAATCTCTTAGGGGTATTTTCCTTTCAAGAGGGTTCAACTTCACAAGAAAAATATTATTGGGTTTTGATAAATTGTTTGGAAAAGGGAAAAAGGTAATAAAAAAATCCATTTTAGTTTATTTCAAATTTCCATACTTTGTTTCTTGGATAAAACGAGTATGTTGCAATTTGCATATCTTACTAACCTCGTAACCTGTAGTAAGAAGTGCTTTGACAAACTTGATCAGTTGATAGCCCTTTAGAGAATGGCTCTTTTGGGTCGAATTTGTTCCTGAATTGAATAAGTTTGATCAGATGAGTCCTGAACTCTATTTTTATGAGATCAACCCTTTGTAGTTGCTTATATTAAGTTCATGGTCAGTTTGGTTTAACTTGTCAAGTTTTTGGTATAATTTAACAAAATTTGTAAGGTTTCAAAGGTCAATTTGACCCAAAATAGAATTCAATGGGTTATTTTGTGGTTCAATTATAATTAAATTGAAATAAAATTTAGGATAAATTACAAGTTTATTATCACAATTATTAATCCAATATGTTGAATTTATCCGATCGAGTATTGTAGAGGCGAGATCGAGTATTGTAGAGGCGAGGACGACTACTCAATCTAGTTTGCTCTATTCATAAATTCTAAGATTCAAACTTCAAGATTTGAACTCTTGACTTGACCATATTTATGAGATCAAATTAGTTATTAGTAAATTCAATTATGATATGATATTATCTTACGATGATATCAATTTCACCTATATTTTAACTGGGTTATCAATATAAAATCAAAACATAACTTTAGGTATAATTTTTTTAAAAAAAAAACAAGTAATCAAAACAGAAAACAAGTAATCAAAACAGAATAAAAATGATAGGGTACCAAATGTGTAATTTTGCCCTTTCGTCTGTTTGAATAACTAAAATCATCATTTACATCCGGTTTGAATCGAACCGCTAAATTGATTCTTGGCCTCGTTTAACTGGACGATTGTCTGATCTTAAGATGCAATATTTGACATTGGCATTGTGCATTGAAGATTGTACTTTCGGAAGTTTCATTGAAACAACAAAGTAGAATACAAGATTTGATTGAAACTGAACCAATTTTATTGACAGAGCACAGTTGGTCGAAATACTTAGCAAAATCACACAAATATTCAAATGAGCAGACCATGAACCGTACTTTCATAATCAGCTCAAGACAACAGTATAATACAAGATTTATGGAAAGTGAAGCAATTTTCTACCCATCTCAATCCCATTGATTAATTACAGAGGAAACACGCACATACCATTGCCTTACTTTCGAGTTCCGGTGCAATGCCGGATTAGATTGGAGCTATATGCTATTCTGGGTGCGAAGTCCAATATATCAGCCCACTGCAATCGAGATTCAAGTTAATGAACTATATTAGTTTACGGATGAAACCGCAGGACTTCTTCTGAATGACAAAGACATATCATACTATGCATTGACTATTTGTGAATTGGGAGTCTCACTCATACAGGCACAAGCATGAATCTGACGATGTAATTATAGAAAATTTAACCTAATTTAAAATGGATGATGATGACAATTTTAAATCCAGAAAAACCATGTACCTGATTAAGACGAACACGCACTGTAAGACACCTGCAGTACCAGTCCACACTGAAGGACCAGATTTCACTATCGAGTCCTGTATCAAGAGGCCCACTGAAGCAGCCAGTGAGACGAAGGATACAACATAAGCAAAGAAAAGCCAGAGCTTCAACCTGTTGCAAAGAAGGATTAGTATTCATAAGCCAAAGCAAGCAATCAAAGGACTACTGGGATTCTCATAGAAAAGAATCTAGAGGATCTAGAGTTTAGAATACACAACCAAATTTATACAGGAATGGTTGGCAGATTCCATTTGGAACAACTAGAAATACACCACACACAATCTTCCAATGGAGACAATTATATGAAAACCAGGCATATAGATGATAGGAGATGCATAGCAAGAAAACAAGACAAAGGGTATCAAAAGCGTAAACACCATTAGTAATTCCAAATTGCTTTAATCCACATAAATGCGAACCCTAAACCCTACATCTGGAATTCTAATCACTAACTACAAGAGCCAATGAATAGATTACATCAATAAACATACTTATTGCATATTGTTAGCCCATATAACATCCCACCCTCACTCGATGCCTTCAACACACGGTGCAAATTTCAATACATTTACAAATAAAATTGGTTAAGCAAAGATTCGTTAGGCTTACATTGAATCCGAAGACCTGACGCTTATGAATTTGGAGTTCAAAGTAATCATCACATCAATAAATCTCGTTTCAATTAGCACAATCACTAAGGAACAATAAAACCCTAGACAATTACTTAACTTTCGAATTGAGGGCAAAACTATACAGTTTTAGCAATATTCAATAACAGCGGTATAATTGAGCTCCAAATAGCAGATCAAAGGAAAATTCTCGGGAAAGAAAAAAAAATGCAATTGAAATAGGAAAGAAAGGAATCAGCTAACCTCCACTCGCCGTCATCGTAAGGAGAGTAATCGATATCCTCTCTTCTAACACAATTGAACATCAAAGCCGCAATAGTTGCAAATATTCCTTTAAAAAAAGAAGTAAAATAAAAAAGAAGTTGATAAATTTATGGAAAAACAGAGGAGGAATTCCGATGTACCAGGTAAATAGTGGAGGAAAGGGACATTGACGGAGCTACAAACGACGGCGTCGACCCAAAACCACCAGCCGGCACCGAACACGGCGCCCGCGACGCCGGGACCGAAGATCGCCCACAGTTCACCTAATTCCATTCCCTGGTTTTCCGATCTAATAATTTGACTAATTATTAACAAAGAAATAATGAATCGAAATATAAAGAAAACAAACTCTTTCTATGTATAGGCACAGCCGAATATATAAATCATAAAATTAAATTTACAAAATAAACCCCATCCCTATATAATTTATTCTAATTATTTCTTTTAAAATATTATAAACACTTTTATAATAATTAGATTTTATCGTGAATGAAAATATTTTATGTAAAATACTATAAATTTAAATTTCAATTAAAAAATAATTATAGATGAAGTGATGAAAGGTTTATATATATAATTATAGATATTTAATTTTAAAATTAAAAATATATTATTATAATTATCTTCTAAATATTTAAAAGGTGTTCTTATTATTTTCACAAATCAGATTGAGTATTTTTTACCTTAATCGTAAACTTGTATTTAAATATTAATTTTTTAAAAACTAATTTCATCTTATAAAATTAGATTATAATTCATCAAATTCGAGTTAATTCTTATTTCTAATTACATATTTGGAACAAACGAACAATTATATTTGTAGCTGTGTTTCAAAAATATTTGTAAAACCGAACAATTATATATTAATAACATAAATTTTTAAGAAAATATAGATAAAATTTTAAAATGAACATCGTTAATAAATTAAATAACTAAGCACCAACTAAGTTAACTTAATAGTTAAAAAAACTATTGTTATCTCTACAAGTTTGAGGAGCATCAATCGCGGGATATTTTATATTTTATTATCAAATGGTATTGAAAGTTTCTATGACATATACCATCACTTATAAATGTATTAGATTAATTAAAAATAATAAATATAAAAATTTTAAATTTGAAAATAAATATGTGTTTAACCTAAACAATACTTATATTCGTCGTCGTTAGGTCTATAAACGAACTGAATGTTTAGCGAACCGTTCATTTGTGTTCATTTATTAGTTAAACAAACGAACATGAACGACTACGAATAAACTAAATTCCTTAATGAATAAATATGAACAAAAAAATTGTTCGTTTATTTATTCATATTTGTTCAATTAAATTAAACAAACGAATATAAACATAAATTTATTCTTGTTCGTTCGATTCATTTACATACATATTAGCTGTGTTTGTCGACCAATTCTGACAGGCAATTATTTGCCTATTTAACTTACAAATATTTGCTGACCGGCTTCAACGTATGCAAGTGAATTCTGGGAATGAGGTGAGAGCTTAAACCATTTTCATTTCAATCAAGCTTGGCAATGGACAACAATGCAACTGACGTAACATCTGTAGTTCCTCCAACAAGTGTCGTGTCATCTGTTTCATAGATGTCGGTAAGACATAATAAATAAGAATTTTTCTTTCACTTCAACGGATACGTTGGTCCACATTGATATTTGATTCAATAATTACGATAAATTTTTATATTTATTTAATAAATAAATAAATAAAAATATAAATATATTAAGTACGTTTGTTTTTTTTATGAATAAACTTATTTGAAAGTCGATTTATCTATTTCTGATTTTTTTGTATTTTTTATATTTTGAATATTAGTGAAGATGACGATTAAATTGAATACAAAATACATTTTAAAGTTCAAATTATGAAGCCTAAAGAGCTTAAGGACTGGTACTATAAATAAGACAAGACAGATTGTGAGCTACTCGAGTTTGACTCGATCAAAGTTTGATAAATACTCGAATCCAATGAACTCGACTCATGTTTTTAACGAGCCAAAACAAGTTACTTAATACTTGACTCGAAAAGTTAACGAACAACTTGAAAAAAATAATATATTAAATTTTATTTTTTTAAAGATAAATTATTAATAATATTTATATTTATGTGTTGATTTTTTTAAATGTTCTATAAAGTTTTATTGTATTTAAGTTTTAGGTCCTAGATCCAGTTTCAACCAAGTTATTTTTTATTTCAAGTTTTTTTCGAATTCTAATTCATAGTTTCAAGTTTGAGTCGAATTAATTAGACGAGTGATGATGAATGATAATGATATAAGCTTAGTTTTTTTTTGGATAATTTGATTTTATTACCCAAATAGCAGTGAACTGCTACAAAATACAATCAATGTTTGAAATTACAAAGGATGTCATAAAAACAAAATGGCAATGAAGAAAGAGTTAAATAATACCCCATTGATTACAAAGAGAAATATTAGTCGGATGTAAGCGGTTAATGTGCCTTCCCCTTAGGTTGAGTCCAACAGATTCCTTGATCGAACTGAACATAGCTTCAACAATAGTTGTTTGTGATTGAAAGATCCTCTTGTTTCTTTCTTTTCAGATTGTGTAGATCAAAGCATTCGAGGAGAGTTTCATGATTGAAGAGAGAAGGGAAGATCCCTTCCACTTAACCGTTGCCCAAGCGTAGAGAGCATCCCATGACTGGTGGCTGAACCGAAGACCACTGCAGGAGAAAATTGCAGACCACAGAGCAGTATCAACCTGATATTCAAAAAATAAATGGTTTCTAGTTTCCATTCCCGTTCCACAAAATGTGCAATGATAGTCAGTGACGATCCCCATTCGATGAAGCCTCTCTTTTGTGGGAAGTCGGTCGAGGAATGCCATCCAAGTAATAATGCTATGTTTAGGTATAAGGAGAGGAGATATAAGCTTAGTTTCCTCGGGTGGAAACTATTCATTCGTGTAATTTCATTTGATTATATTAAAATTGTATACTAGCCGACAATTAGTTGGTCTAGTGGGATAAGATACTAGATCCCCTAAGTAAGGTTAAAGGTTGGAACTCTGTCACTTGCGAATGAAGTAAATTTGGTTGGGAAGGTCTCCTTTGACTCTGTAGTACCCAATATATAGATTAGTCGGTCAATAGATTCAGATACCGATGATTAATTCAAAAAATAATTGCATACTTCTCTTTCTTTTTGACTCATTTGTCATCGAAGTCTTCTTAATTGCTTTCTTAACCTTATTTTTTCCCTTTTCGCTGGGCTGGCTCCTTGTAAAGACTAAATTGTAGTTTATTCTCAGTGTATTATTCATGGATATAAATTAGATTGGGAAAGCATATGACAATATGTGTGCGTGTGTTTTTTCCGTTTAAAGAGTATAAGTTAATCATTGTCAATAAAATATAGAAAACCAGTATTTAAATATAATGAAATATCTGAGCAGTGAAAATAGAAGGTGATATTTCAGTTTAAATTCTGCCAGTGCTCCTGAGAATCACGAGAGAAGTAGAGAAATTGTTGGTATTTTAACGAAGAGAAAACTCAATAGATAAGGAAATTGAATGTTGTTATTTTATTGATCGATCATTAAGAATTTAAATAAAATGAAATCAACAATCCACTAACAACATATTCCTAAATTTAAGAGCAACCCATGAATAATTTTCCCGTAAACTTAAGCAACACACAAATAACAAATAATCTAAAAATAGTCCTAAACATATCAACTAACACTCCTTGCTTTAGGAACTACAAACACGAAGTGTTGCTCTCAAAACTTCAAATTTACTTACGGGAAGCGGTTTGGTGAAGATTTCTGTAAGTTGCTCCTCTGTTTTTCAATGAACCAATATAACATCACCTTCTTTTTACACTTCTCTCAAAACGAAAAGTTTAATGCGGAAATACTTAGTCTTCCCATGAAACACTGGGTTGTGGGAAATTGTTATGGTAACTTGATTATCAACAAATACCATTGTGCTTTCTTGCTTTACAGTGGATGATGCAATGATAAATTCTTCCTACAAAGCTTGATTAACAGTGGATGCTGCAGCAATAAATTCTTCTTCGATAATGAATTAAGTAACGATTTCTTGCTTCTTTGAGCTTCATGAGAAAAATACTAGATCCAAAAAAGAAACAATAGTTTGAAGTACTCCTCATGTCATCATAAGGTGTTTGATCCTCATAAGGTTTATGACCATACCAAGCCTCATAGGGTGTTTTGTACTTGACTATTTTTGTGAACAATCTATTATGTAGGAAAATCACGGTATGATTTGGCTCTACCCAGAATTTCTTGGGTAAATTCTTTTCATGCAGTATACATCTAGTCATTTCTAAGACGTACTAACTCCATTTTGCTACGACAAATAAAGAGCTGTCAACTGATGCTCAATGCCCGCTTCTTCACAAAATGCATTGAAATTTTCTAGCGTATACTCCTTGCCATTATCAGACCTCAATATTTAAAAGTGCCACTTTAATTTTCCATATTTCTTTTGAATTTCCAGAATACTCCAGCAACTTCTGACTTGAACTTTAAGAAGAAAATCCAACACATTGTTGTAAAATCATCAATAAAAGTAGCAAAATATCGATTATATGCTAATGAAGGAGTTATTTGAGGTTTAGAAATGTCTATGTGAATCAACTACAACTACAACTTCCCATGTAGTTTTTGAAAATAACTTTCTGTTTTGCTTTCCAAACTGAAAAGCCTTACATGCCAATATGTGATCATCATGTTCTGAAAGATCCATTGCTATGCTTTTGGACTTCATTTTCAATCTCCCTTGATGGTAATAGTGTCTGAGCCTTTTATGCCACAACATTACTGTAACCACTGTCAATGAGCTAACTTTCACTCGTTTCGTTACTAGTGAAACAAGTTGCAACAAAAAGTTGATCGTATTCTTCTTGATCTACCACTTGTGCTTTATCTTGTTGCTAATTTTTATACTTACAAATAATAGCTTCATGTCCCATTTGGTTACACTGCTGCACTTTGCATCTGATCTTCTCCAACACTTAAAAGGTGGGTGACATTTCTTTTTGCAGTGTTGACATGGAAGATATTCATTTTTTTACTTTTAGTCTTATATTCTAGGCTTTGTTTTTGTTCCCAAACGTAGATTTTTTTCCATTCACAGCGTTAAACATTTTGATTTTTGGCCTCCGATTTTTTCCATCATCTTGATGTTTAACCGGTAGAGAACCTTTAATGGCCCCTTCTTCATTCGTTACATGCCTTTTCTATTGTGCTTACAAAACACTTAAGAGTTTCGCCAAAGCAATCTTTGACATATCTTTCGTGTTCTCTAAGGTGGTGATGG